TCATCCAAGCTTCTAAGAATCCTTTCAATTCTTTAAAATATAAAAGCACCTTGAAAGATAATCTGGCAATTAATCTGTCAGTATTACATATATATCAGACAGCTGAATTATTCTGCCAATGAGTAAATAACCTGCCACCTTGCTCTTGGGCCAAAGAACAGCTACCAAAGCCTGTGATAGCCAGCTTAGGCAGTGAATGAGCTGAATGGAGATTTTTTTTGTGGAGTAGTTTGAGGAAAAGATGCAGCACTTTACAAAAGTATAGGCTGTGAGGTGGAGGGAGGCTGATTGGCAAGACAGGGCTATAGATCAAAGTTGTCTTGAAAGGAGTTAATAAAACAGGAGGCAGCTAATGCAGATGTCAGAGAATCAGCATGACAGGTGCAGCAAGAAGCTGTTTACTTGCAGTCTCCAGACAGACTGCAGCTGATGGATGTTTTCAGGAGACCTGTGCTGTGGAAGCAGTCTGGAGGTTTGTATCTGAATGGAGTAAGTACACCTCATCCACAGAGCTGAAAACCAGATAGTGTGACCTTGACAACCTGGTGATCTAGCAGTGTCCAGACTGGAGTCACAGCAGCCACAGTTTCTGTGTCACTTCTGACACAGGGTCTGCATCTTCTGCGTTCTGTCACTAACCAGGCAAGAGCATCTCTGCCCTGTGTTGATTCCTGCCAGACTTCCTCCTCCTCCTCCCTCTCCTTCTGCTTGCAGTTGTTCTCGGGCTCTGTCCATGCCCTGCAATGCCCACTGGGCCCATGGAGGTGAAGGTGTAAAGCTGCACACCCTTCTGGTCAGTGGGGTTAGTCTTTGTGCCTCCTTCCTCTCCTCGAGGGCGTTTAGCTAAGGGATGTGAGGAGAGTTCTTACGCATCTGTGGTGCAATTGCAAGGGGCAGTGGTTGCAGTCAGCACACTGGGGAAGAACTGTAGGCACTGTTTTGCAGACCCCACTTCTGTGTGAAGTGGGACTTAGAAGAGTAGAGTAGGCAAAGAGAGTATGTACATTCAAGCATTGCATAGCTAGTGGAAATACCTCTAGTGGTTTCAACCTCTTCTATTAGTCTAAATATTTTAATCTCCTTGTCATGTCAACTTTCTTCAAGAACTAGCGTACACAGTGCTCAAAGTGAACAATTAATCTGCTGTTATCCTGACATAAACGGGAATGCTGCTGATATGTAATTGAGGTAGGGAGTGGCAATAATAGTTAGCGTGTTAACTGTCTAGCGTACACAGTGCTCAAAGTGAACAATTAATCTGCTGTTATCCTGACATAAACGGGAATGCCGCCGGTATGTAATTGAGGTAGGGAGTGGATAATGGCAATAATAGTTAGCGTGTTAACTGCTTCAATTCTCTGAAGCATTTTGTGACTGATCTAAAAAGCTGGTTGTTTGTCTGCATGTTTTGTTTATGTATGAGCTAATTCCATTGAAATTCCAGCCTACCTGAATGTGCACTATCAGTATCTAAGATAGGTTTTGAAATTGGAAGTTCCTGACTGTTTTTATTTTCCCCTATCATAAGATTCTGTCCATCCCCTGGAGATGTTTAGCCATAGCGAGTCATGCTCACAATAATCTTATAGTAGATGCCAGAGATATTCTTGGCATAAATGAATGTCCCATTTGGTTCAGCTAATAAACTTACTCCTTTTGTTACAGTAGTCCCGCTTTCCTTTGTTGGTAGAGCTCTTTCAAGAAATACCAGATTAGTTTTTTATAGGATGTATATTCACTTGAATCCTCTACCTGCAAAGAGCTCGGTGCTGCTGTGCTCTGCTTTTCATCCCATCCCATCCCATTGCGAGTTGGCACCCCCACTCACCTTCTCCATATCATATTCATCCATGATCAAGTGTGAGGTATTTTATCTGCATGAGATTGCTGAGGTGCAGGTCAGACACAGCCAAAGAGCGACTGTTGTAGGGCTTCGTGTGCTCACACATAATCAGTGAAGTCCGAGATCTCTGTAACCACACACTAGTGCCTGTATTCCAAAGACAGAGGGAACAAACCTGAAGTTGACTAAAGATCACTACTCAGCATGACCACACAAGAATAAGACATGCATTCTTATACCTAGTGATTTTATAAAAGGTCTTACCTTTCTATTCAAATAATATCTTCTGTTGTTATGAGTGATGAAAGCATAAACTGAAAAAAGCATAAAAGAAGATACAGGTTTATGTATTGAATTCCATTTAAAAATTATCTGAATAAAGTCGGTAAATTTTTGAAAATCAAATTGTTGGAGGGAAAAATAGCCTCAGCAGCTTAGACTCCATCTTTGATTTGTGATCAGAAGGTTTTCTGCAGTCTCAGCAGCACACGGTAGGACCAAGACAAAATACGAGAGAAGGGGACAAAAACTTTTACAAATATTTATAAAACTGGTCCTATACTGAGGTATAGAAGTGCCCAGTACTGTCTTTAAAGGACACTTTGAAGTACTGTTCTTTAAAGGACACTGCTTTTTGTTGATGCTTAATCAAACTTTTTCCATCCAGTGAGGTGAACTTGTGTAATTATTTTAATACACTAATGCTGCTCTTACCCTGAGGCTGCAACAAGGACCAGCTATGTGCTTAACTAAAGATAATACTTCAATATGCACATATATAGTTCCGATTATATATGGAAGCACATGAATTGTTGTGAACAAATGCAAGATCAGGGCCATTGAGGGCAATTTGTCCACAGGATCACAATATGGACCTTGTTATATACCAGGGGTTTTTTCACTGATGGAATGGAGAACAATATTTGCTTTGAAAATAATTCTGCACTGTCACAGTGGAATATTTTAGCTTCTTTTATTGTCTGTCAACTAGCCATATTCATTAGTCCTTAATATCTCTTTCAATCTTTAATAATTTTTATATTTTCTTTCAAACTAACCAGCATAACTTGATCTGGTAATCAGCAAGTTGAGTGCCAGAACAATACTTTTATCTGTCTTTCTCTGTTTTGGCATTTATGAAATTGCAAAAGTTATGCTTTGGACATCCTTATTTTCCCCCACATTCCAATGTGCACAAAATAATGAACTTGAAGGCACTGAGGACTACTCACACCTAAGAAATGTTTGTTCTGAAAAGGATACTTCGTACATGGAAAATTTCTCCTGAGAATATGCAGCTTTGTCTGAATAGGATACTACTGTCTTATGGTGAAATTGCGGTGTTTTCAAACTATTTTGCTCACCCAGTTTTGAAATAGAATACTCTGAAAGAGAGATTATGATTCATAGAAGCAATTTGAATGTTTATCCTACATATGCTTTTTGAATTTTTCATAGATGCGTTTTGTAAAGGTCTTGTTTAGTTCCCTTAAGAGCTTGTTTGGAGAACAGAGCAGGCGAGAGAGTGGAGACCTAATGAATCTTTAAAAGCAAATTTTCATCTGCTGCCTCTAAAACTTAAATTCCCAGAGTAGCCTGTTTCCCGGCAGCCAGAATGCCGTGAAGCAGCCTGAGCCTCCATCCATCCCACTTCCTAGAAGCGAGCGGCGGTGTGGCCGGCCAGGAAGCGCCGTCTGTTGCAATGGCTCCTGTGGGTACCGCGACCCGAGTGCGCACAGGGCCAGCCCGCAGCCCTGTGCCACCTCCATAAAGCCGTGCTCCGGCCACACACCTTCCTTCAGCCGGGCCGTCTGCTGGGAGAGGTGCAGGTGTGCCAGCAGCACCAGAGGAGGTAGGGCTTGGCCTCCACACAAAATGAAAGCAGGGCCAATAGCAGTTGTCGGCACCTGAAAAATGTTCTCTCTAAGCTCATCTAGCACTTTTCCTTTGTTTTCCCCTCTTTGTGGAGTAAGCCAAATCTTGGAGTGTTCTAGAAATAAAGGGGAGGGGGTGGTGTGTTAGGGTACTGAAAGTGGAGAGCGTTACAGTAAAATACAGTATATGCCTTTGTGGCCATCATTTATTTCCATGCAAATAGTCTTCAGCTGTGATGTCTCTCTACATATATGAAGGAAACAGAAATATATTATTTATGTAATAAACATGTGACATTTTGAAATTATGCAGTGATACTTTCTTTTTAATTACTCTTGTTCATCAGAACTAATTTGTGTTCAGTTTTGCTGTTAGCGATTTTCGGAGCATCTTGTGTGTCACCCTGTGTGAGCAGTGAATCTTGCACACAGTTAGTGGGGAAGAAACAAATGCTTTCAAAACAGGAAAATTTGACTGAATGCTGGCAGGAGCTCAAAAGCAATTACATACTCTGAAGAGTACTCTTAGTTCAGTTTTACAAGAGAATAAATGACAGGACAGTTATATTCCCTTCAAATGAAATTTTTACTGGGGCAAGCATCCGTAGTGGGGCTTTCTTTGGCTTGTGCTTCTTGATTGTTGAAAGCGATTTGTAAGAAAAATAACCTCTTTTTGTTTTGTTTTGTTTTTTTGGTTTTTTTTTTGCTGTGACTCTTTGCTTTTAAAAATTGTTCAGGTTCATGTGACTTGAGATTCACCCCTGAAGTCTTTGCTTTCTCATTGTCACAAGTGGTTCTGTGTTACTGTTTCATATAGGATTGTTTAAATAGTCAAACTGGTTAGCAAAGAGCTTTTTTTTCTCGTGACTAACTCTAGAGAGCATGGCTACATTTTGAAGGGAATCTGAACTGATCATTTAGGGATTCTGTGAGTCTTGGTGAAAGTCAGAAGCAGGGAATGTCTCACAGCATATTAGTAGCAGTTATATCAGAGTTAAATTAATTTTATTAGTCTCTAGACAATTGGAAGGAAAAAATAGCTTGTGTCAGTGGAAAATGGTAATAGTGCTAAGACTGTTAGCCCCCGTGGAGCAGCAAGAAGGTTATTTATGTGAATGGCTGTTGCACACACAGCTGGCTGGGAGGAAATGGAAAAGTTCATCATCCTCAGTGAGGGATACTTGCCATGCCTGTCCAAAGGTGTGTCCAGGAATATTTATCTTGATGAGGAATGGTTTGTTCTCTGTAGATTATAAATGTTACATTTTATTTTTACTTTCCAGAAACGTCATTTGACTCATTGAAGATTTAAAACCAACAGAGCCATGTGGGAGAAAATGAAATTTTAGTCTCAGTGGCGGAATCAAGTCATAAGAAGTAAAGAGATTTGGATGGTTTCTCACTAAATGGAAATTATATAGAAAGCCTCTAAGACCACTGCATCTCTCCACCCCCCCACTCCTGCTGCACCGAGACTGCACTCTTGGCCTTGGACGTTATTAAAATGCTGGATTCAGTCAAGTGTGTTCTGGTGGGAGACTCTGCAGTTGGGAAAACATCTCTCCTGGTACGTTTCACCTCTGAGACTTTTCCAGATGACTACAGACCCACCGTCTATGAAAATACCGGAGTGGATGTCTTCATGGATGGCGTACAGATCAGCTTAGGTCTTTGGGACACATCTGGAAGTGATGCCTTTAAAGGCATTCGCCCCCTCTCCTACCAACAGGCAGATGTGGTATTAATGTGCTACTCGGTAGCAAACCATAATTCCTTTCTGAACCTGAGGAACAAATGGATCAGCGAGATCCGCAGCCATTTGCCCCGCATCCCCGTTTTGGTGGTGGCCACTCAGACTGACCAGCGTGACATGGGTCCCTACAGCTCCTCCTGCATCAGCCCTATAGATGGCAAGCGGCTCGCCCAGGATGTGCGAGCCAAGGGCTATTTGGAGTGCTCTGCCCTCAGCAACAGGGGAGTGCAGCAGGTGTTTGAGTGCGCTGTGCGGACAGCGGTCAATCAAGCCAAAAGGCAGAACAGGCGGAAGCTCTTCTCCATTAATGAGTGCAAGATCTTTTGAGGACTGTTAGCAGTGGTTTTGCTCACATTTGTTCTGTCTGTTTTCTCACAAAGATGCTGCAGCAGAGAGAATGGGAGATGAATCAACGGAGGGCTCCTGGCAGGACCACAGTGCAGGTGCCTCTTGTGGGACAGGTGTGCTCTTTATCTGAGCTTCTTCCCTCCAAAACACGTGTGCTATCTTGAAAAATGAAAGGTGCATACCCTTATTCACAAGCCTGTGTTTGGACTTTGCAAGCCTGAGCTGTAGCAGGCCTAGACTGCAGATGTGCAGATAACAGCAGTACTGAATTTGGTTTTGTTTCTGTCAATGCTCCTCAGTTGTTGGTTTGTCTGCATCTGCATTTATTTAATGACAAAATTCTGCCTGGATCAGCCCCCACCTCTGTCCTTGTGGATATTTTTTTTTTTACTTAAGAATGTAGTATATAGAACCTGACCAATGTGTATTTTATTTAGAGGACTCTTGGATATATTGTTGAAAATCACAAAAGTTTGTTTTAATATTTTGGAGGTTGTCCCTTTAGCTAATCACAGAAATGAACTGTCCTATCCATGTAATAAATGGTCTGCAGGCAAGCCTTAGACATGCCTGAGTCATTGCATAACAGTCATCAGCATGTCCAGCGTAGGCGTAATCAAAACTTAGTGACATTTGACAGCTGTCTCCTGCAGTTTTGTGAGATTTGTTACCTTAATATTGTTCCTCAACGATGTGGTCAAAGGTGGAAAACTAATTTGATTCTTCCTAGCCTTCACTGTCTTACAACCTCAGGGCTTGCAGACAGGGTTGGTTTAGACATATGCTTGGGCTGACAGGGATGAATCTGTGCTACCATCACCTCTGTTGTCCCTGCTGTAATTCTGGAGGCAAAAGATTTCAGTCTCCAGAGATGGAAGATATTTTTTCATGAGCACTTACATTCTCATATATTTTTAGTACACTTTGTTTCAAAGCAGTGGTTTTAGTGGACCCAGTCACCTACATTAGTAAAAGGTTGAGTATGTAGCAAGGTTGAATGGATGCCTTTAGAATGGCTTTTTTTTGAGTTTGCGTGCGAAGTATAATTGCCTAGGTCGTGTCCAAGTAAGACTGAAACAGGCATTGCATCCTGGGGAGCCTATCAAGTCTAGGAGCCAAATCCTGATGTATGTACTGGGGCCAAGTTACCCTCCTGCACAGAAAGGCTGGCTAAGGGAATGGAAACTTCAGGCATGTAAGAGAACTCTGCTAGAAGATGAAGTGTGTTCAAGCCACAGTGGTGTACATTCCTTGTAAATTGTGGCAGTCCCCTCCTCCTCATATTATCTGTCCTCTCTGTCCTGCATCCCTCTCAGGTCTTGCAGATCTGACTCATCCCAAGAGAATTTCTTAGTGCAGCAAGATTTTCTTTGTCCCTTTTCCTGTCCTTCAGCTAGCTAGGAACTAACCTGTGAGGGACTTATAGCATGGTGCCATAAAAGGTGGCACATAGCACAGTGGGATTATCTCACCTGTGCTGTAGGTGAGCAAGGATTTGCTCTGTGGGCAGTTTGATTAGCAGTGGGACACAGAACACCTGGTGTTGTGATTGTCCCACCAGCTTCTCGACTGTTGAATATTTACTGCTCATCAACCTGATTGTAAGGGAGACTTCTGAACATAAAAACATTCTGGTCTCATCTGAGGTTTTTATATCAGCCTGAAATCTTTACAAACTTCTGCCCCTGAGCACCCAAGACAGAGACTTCTGTTACCACCCATCTTCCCTGAATTCTTCTATTTCCTACTTCTTTCTTCTCAAGTGTTGATTTGTTACTGAAACACTAAAACTGACATATTTGTAAAAGAATCTGAATGGCATTGTACTTGTGTAGAGTTATGCAAGTGCCCAAGTATTTGCAGTCCTCAGTTAAAAATCTTTTGGCTTTTGGGAGAAATATTCTTCTACATGTCAACTCTTGCAACACCTCTCCACTGGAAGTCTTAGGTTTTGTAACTCTAATTTAAAAGTAGCCATTGTTACATTGTTACAAAAGTAGCCATTGTTGTTTGAACATTAAAGGTTGCATGAAAAATGTCGTGTTATGAATTTTCAAATCTGTTACAACTGGGGACATTTTTGTTATGTTCCCTACTCCACTAATGGATTTAATACCTAGTTTCGACTATTTTTACGACATATTTTTTCCAGATGCTCTATTCAATTGTCTTTTCTTTTTTTCCTGAATGGGTTAAAGTCTGTTTACAACAGTTCATGCAGTTTTTATATGCTGAAGAGCAGTAATCACCAGTTGAGAATGCTGTGTTGTGTTATCTACTGCAAAGTCCCACATTCGGGCACCAAAAGGCTCCACAGAATTGTTAGCACAGACAAAGCCAGACAAAGTTGTAACTGAAGATCTCATCTCATCTCATCTATATTAGCTTCACAAAACTTGTTATGGTGTGTTACAAAATTAAGAAATCTATGTCTGTTGCAATTCAGTGAAGCCAGGTGGATAGGCTTCCTTAAGATGCCTGGACTGACTGTACAGGATACACAGGAAATTTAGGGATGGCTTGATATACTCTTGATTGTGCATTTTAGAGCCAGTGCAAAGTGTGAGGCCACTGGAAGCCAGCTGAATTTTAAAATCAATTTGGAAAGAGTATATAAAGTAATGGGGGTTTTGGTTTTGTGCTCTGTGAAAAAAAAAACAGTTCAAATTTTCACAGCCTGGTTATTTTCAGACTCTCAAAGCTAAAAGGCACTTTTCACTGGGAGCAAACTGTGAAGCACATATATTTTAGTGCCTGTAATTATGTGGTTTTCCCTGAGCTATAGAACCGATGTGCTCAAAAAGTGTGGCAGCCCCAAAACAGAGGCTGAAATCTAGACACAGCAGAACTCAGCCGAAGATTTGGCCGAGTGGTATTTTGGGGTTTGTGGCTTGTGCACCAATGAGGGACTGCTGAGGTCTCCTGTGAAACCCTTCCAGGGTGGTTTTACTTGTGTTTACTTGGGTAACAGGGTCCCTGGGTACTGTTTAGAGGTTAAAATCTGGCTCTGGTATTTAAAATACATTAAAATGGCACTTGTGGAATTTCAGCTTCTTTAGCTCTGAAAAAGAGCAAAACAGAAAAAATTTGCAGTCCTGCCTCAGCTGGGTCAAGCTTTCAGCTGAGGGAAGAGACCTTGCCCAAATATTCTCCTTCTGTCTTCTCAAATGGATCCCTTTCAGTTTTTGTTCTGTTGCTAATCTTCTTTTTGATTGTTATTAAAACAGGTTAAAAGGTTTCTTTTTAAAAAGGATTATTTTATATACAGGTTTCCCAGACTTTTAAACTCACTTGATATGCAGCACACAATATAAATATTTTCTACAAGTAAATAGTAAAAATATGTTTCAAATCATCACTCTTGCCCCCCCCCCGATTTTTCATACAGAAAATTATTCAAGCTTGCTAGATATAATTGATACTGTTTTGCCTGATATTTGCAATTAACAGTTTGCAAATTTTTGTGCAATTTTTGTGGGTACTCTGGGTTCACTAAAGTCTGTGAACACAAACTAGTTGATGCTTCTGTTAATAAAGAAAATGTGTTTAAGGAACTCTATATATGGCACCATTATAAAAGAAGTCACCAGAGGGATCAGACATGAAGGAAAAAGAAATGTCAACATTCTTTACATCTCAACCTTTCCTGTATTACTATGGCATTTGAATGAATTCAGCCATTAGAATAATTTCTAATAAATGGTGCAATTCATGTCTTTTTAGCACTTTCTCCTAGTGCTATGGTTGCACACAGCTCAGGCTAATATAAACGGAATAAAAGGCTTCATTTCAGAACATCAGAAAGCTTGTCTGCTCTTGCCTTTGTGAGCAAGATAACTACCTTAACTTAACTACAAGTCAGTTCAGCCTCTTAAACAAGCCAGATATGACCACAACTGGATTAGCCAAACTCCCTTGCTCTGAAATTACAATAATGAATTTTTGTCCCTGAATATGAGGAAATGTATTTTATGTCTCAGAGATTTCCTTCACGATGGTAAGAGCTGACCAGTTATCAGTGTGTACCCTTCATAGCAGACCTGTATGCCCTTCACCTTGTGCTCTGAGCAGCCAGTTATTGAAAACAAAATTCAGAGAGAAAACAACTTCTGTGTGTATCTAGGTGTTTATGTGGTTATATAGCTGCTTAACTATAGCTGTGGTGGCCTTTCCACTGGCCTGGACCTCTTGCTGCTTTGTGATGTGACACTGCAGCCTCCGTGTGTCAGCCTCTGTGTCACTCGTGAGGCAGAAGAGCATCACCACGAAGCTGCCCTGTGTATTCAGCAGGACAGAAGAGATGCTGCTCGGGACTCCTCTTACCTGCATCATAGGCAATTGCCCTACTCTGCAAACAGAGCTGGCCCTGCCTCAGAGTCACACCTCTGTCACTTGCAGGTGGCCTTGCAGTAACACATTTATTTTGTGTGCCATTTCTAAAATCAGTATCCAAGGCCTGGCTTCTGCAGCCACTGTTGTACTGGTAGCTGGGCTCCAGCTGCTGCATTTGGAGGTGGGAGGAGGGGGGATGTCTCACACCCCGTGGCACATCCCTTCCTGAGCACAGGGAGCTGGCCTACAGCCTTGCATGAGCAGTGAGTTATTAGCAAAGAAAAGAATAGCTATTGCTGCCTTTCTGGTTCTGAAGTGAATGAGCGACATGCCTGTCTCACTCAGCCCTACACAAGGCTGGCAGGGGCATTTCTGTCGTTGCTCCTCTCAGCCTGGCTATGATTCATAGAGGGCGGAGCAGCGGGGCATGGGCCTCCGGGTGGTGGTGGTGGTTGTTTCTGTCTCTGGAAAAGAGGAAGGAAACGATGATTGGTGTCTTCACTTGATGTGAGGCGCTCGCTCGCCCGCGTCCGCAGTGTTTCTGAGAAGTCTCCAGTGGGCACCGGCTCCCACTGGCACTCCAGCAGCTCTGGACTGTGCCTCAGAGGATGCAAGCTGAGCTGGGACAGCTCTCATGCCAAGACCTGGGTGTCTCCCTTCACTCCCTTGGCTGCCTTCCCAAAATGCTACATTGCTGTTCAGCTACCACAGAAGGGTGAGACTTTCAAAAGAGATGGCTTTGCTTTGAAAAGCAAGATCCCTTGCAAATGTCAGCTGCTCAGGATGTGGCTGTGTCTGCTAGCTGTCTGCTAGCCACAGTCAGGGCAGTGGTGGCCGAAGCTGCACAGCCAGCCTCAGGGTGTCAGGGGAGAGACCCAAGGCTGATACTTAGCTTGGAAGATGAATTAAGTCATTCATGGAGAGAGATATGTCTTATATGCCAAACCTTTTCTAACGCATAAGCGCTGCTGATTTTTCTTTCTTAGAAAGCTCAGATTTTAAAATATATAAAACACCAAGTGTCTTTCTGGCTATTGCCTTATCACTTTCATTTATCTGTCACTGTGACACCAGATCTGATGCTTAAAGGCCAGTGATGCAGTATTCTACACAGCATGTGTCTGAGGAAGCATTAAAGGTCACAGGATTCCACAAGCGACTACTTTAGAACTTCTTATGTATCTTAGGCGTTGAAATGCATACAGATATTTTAAATTATTCTTCTTTATGTGGAATTAGTGCTGGTATCTGATCCATCATAGAATTATTGATCAATTAAACCAGAGCTGCAACCTTGGCTTATAATTAGGGCATTGGCTTAGACAATGATCTTTGCTGTGCAGTCCCTCCCCCACTGTGCAGAGCTTGGCCCAAGCTCAGTCAGGTCAGGTGTGGAGCTTTTAAGTTTAACCAGGCTCTGGGCCAGGCCTGTGTAAGCCTGCACAATGAACTTTTAGACACACAACTCCAAACTGCCTGGTGGCATGACTGACCAGTTTAGGATGAGCTTGACCTGAATGAGTTCACTTTGCCTGAGCCTGCTCCCCGTGGCTGTCTGGTGGATGGCAGGAGATGAACTGCAAGCATGAAATGCTGCTACACAGACCACTGGGTGTCTCTGGCCCACTTCTGCAGCTGGGTGACACCGGGCAAGCCACGGCTCTAGTGCACCCCCACATGAGATGGACACATGGCAGCGACCTTTTTTTGAAGCACTTTAGTTTGGTCATGAAAGATCTTGGTGCTGGTGGGTACTTTAGCATTTGTCAGGCCTGTCAGATGTTCCTTCTGACAGGTTTGACCTGCAGAGTTTGCTCTGAATGGGTCTGTAGAACATGTATTTCAACTCACTGAAGCCACAGGGAGTAGGTAAGCATAAGGGACACAAAGAGAAGGGACAAGATATAACAAAAAATTAATTGCTTTACTACTTTAACAGTTTGTAATTAACATAATGCCCTTTTTAATTTTATAGAACATCAGTATGGGTTGAGCTAACATCTCATTCATCAGTGATATGTTTAGAAATTAAATTCTCCCTGAAAGAGTTGTGCTGAATGCTGGGTAGGTAGAGAGAATGTCCCTCCATGGTTATTCCTAGCCCTCTTTTTGGAGCATGCTCTTACATTCCCTGTAGTGACTGGGCTCTGGGCTGGAGTGATCTCAGTGGGTGCAACATGAACATTCTAAGAGCCCTTTGTGATGGTAAAGATTTTTTTTTCTGCAGAGGGAGCAGTCAAGGGTACTCATTTAGAGTCTCAGGCTCACAATGCAGTACAAGACACAATTTAAGGAGATTAATTCAATGGGAGGAGCATGTGACTCTCTTCTACAACTTTCCAGCTGGCTGCCAAGAAAACCAATGCAGTGCCCTTGATTTGGAGCATTCTCAAGTTTTTGTCTCCCTAGTGTGCAGGGATGTATCTTTGTTATTTTTCCCTGCATATCCAGAGATATTTAAAGAAAATGAGGCATCCTTACTGGAGATATTTTCCTCTTTCATAGCTGACACATGCTTCTGGCTCCCACTACAGATATGTCACAATTTAGCTTGTCATTTACAGATGAAAGAAATCCCATGAGTCTTGCCTGGCAAAAAATCGCAACTTGCCAACCACAGCCTACAAAGAATAGCTAGTTCTGGTGCAGCTGATCTTTGCAATAGGTGACAGCCAATGCTGGTAGAGTTAAGTCTTCATGAAACTGCACAGAAGAAACTGGAGGAATACCACTGCATTGCTTATTAAATACATGAGTGATACAACTTTGAGCTAAGGGCACGAATAGCACATGTATAGCATTTGCTATACAAATAGCAAATATACAAATAGCAAATACACAAATGAGCTTAAGAAAGATCCAAGCCAGAACGGGTTGGTTACCTGAGTTGAAAGACTAAGTCCTGACCGGGATCTGGGACACATCACTCAGGGATGCTATTGAACAATCCAGAATTAACAGGGCATTCACCAAGCACAGACTCTTAGAGGTGTGCAGTGATCTGGTATGGTGCCTATGACAGAAGAATCAAAACAATGGGAAAACTGAAAGCTAAAGCAGGATGGCATGAAAAAAGCTGCCTTTAGCTTCACAAAATCAGTCTGCTGAGCTGCGTGTACCATAACGAACATGAGGAGCTATAGGAGTGCCAGGCACGATGAGCAAAATATAGAAGCAGCAGTGAATCATGTAATTACATCATGTAATTGGAGTCTGCAAGCACCAAGAGAGGACACCTGGCATGGGAAGAGGAGAAGGCAAAAGCCTGGGAGCTCGGAGGTGCTCTTCACAAGAGCAGTGAGCAAAGCTGCAGCAGGAGATGGGCCAAGTCAGCATGAATGTGAATGGAAATTACATTCATTTCTGTACAGTGCAGAGGTATGTAAGCAACTGTAGTGCTAAAGTAACCCCTGAAAAAAATCCCTGGGCTGTGGAAAAAAGTTATAACAGGGCCTCTGAGGACATGCAGGTGCATAAGAAAATAGGGAAATAAAAGTCTTTGAATGGACCAGTGGGTTCCAGAGCTG